TTTTCCTTTTCTTTTTGTATTCCCAGGGAGTATATGCATTGCCAGAGACAGACAGAGAGATAGAGAAAGCATCCCCCAGTGGGACATGGTCTCCTCACAATTTCTTCTCCTCCATTCCCCATCCTGTTGGGATTCTGGAAACACATGGTTGGCATGTGTCTTAAGCCACCAGGGCCGAGACTGAGCCAAGGGTCAGCCATATGACTCCTGCTCCCTTAACCAGTGGCCCACTGGGCCTGCCCACATTCCTGCATCTCCTTCAGGGTGGGACTCCTCTCCCACACTCCTCTCCCCCTCAAGCCTGGATGGGCTCAGCCCTGGTTAGCAGCAAGAGGAATCCCTGACCTTCCTCCGTGTCCAGGGCCCACTCAGGCACAGCAGGCACAGAGGGAGGCCCTCCCGGGCTTTTAGGGCTCTGAGCATCTTCCAGATTGTTCCAGATAATGACTTCCAGGTGGTATGCTTTCACTTCTTCCTGAAGAATGCCCTCCATTTGTGGTGGGGGCTGCAAACTCAGCCGGCACCACCCACAGCGACCTGCAGACTCGGCCTCCGGGATCCAGCCCCGGAGGCTGAAATGGAGTCCTCTTTTTAAGAAGAAGTTTATCTTTCCTGAGAGAGAGAAAGAGATAAGCACCCCAACGGGATCTTCATGTCCCCATCCCCCCAGTCTCAGCTGGGCCGGATCAGAGGCAAATGCACCACTGCCTGGCCCCCCGGGATACAGTCTCAGAGCAGAGTTGTGTCTTCTATTGCCAGAGGGTGTATGTGCTCACCAGAGAGAGAGACAGAGACAGAGAGAGGGAAGGAGAAAGCACCTTCTCCTCCATTCCTCTATCCTGTCGGGGTTTGGGTCACACACGTACACCCATCATGTTTTTTTTTTTTTTTGGAGAGATTTTTGCTAGAAGGCGCGTGCGCTCTCCAGAAAGACAGACAGAGAGAGAGAGACAGAGAGACAGAAAGTGAGAAATCACCCTCCAGGGAGGATGGCCACGCCACAATCCCTTCTCCTCCATTCTCCTCTCAGAATCTTGGGCACACATGCACACGCGCCCGGCATGATTTTAAGCCACTGAGTCTGGGCCTCGAACTGCGGTCATCCTGCAAAGCCCAGGCCCCCAAACGTGGCGTCTAAAGCAGCCACCAGCCCAGCTGTGGTGGTGTGGGTAGCGGGGCGCTGATCTGCAGCACTGGAATGCACATGACCAACCACACGCTGGGATCCCAGTTTGACCTTGTAAGGGTCGGTCCAGAGATCGGTCTAACTGATGGAGACACAGAAAAGACAACAATGCAACTGCAAAAGAGGCTTTTATTCTTTTTCCAGCTAGCTGGGGTCCGAGTTTCTGCCCGTCGCAGCGGGCCTTAACAAGGACCCCGAGCCTAAGGTAAAGGGATCTTTTATAGCTCCGAATCGCAATGCAGGAGGTACAGTCAGTAATTTTCCACTTGAGGGAGGGTGTGTGAGAAAGCTAGCTGTCACTATAGGTTTAGGTTTAGATTAGGACTTTCAGTTGAGGTCAGGTTGACCTGGCCCTGACATCGTCAGGGCCCATCTTACTTTGTTTACTTATGTGGTCTCAGACTCCCCGGGTTCTGTCCTTGAGGGTCTAACATGGCGGTGGTTGTGTCAATTCGGCCTAACAACCTGAAACGTGGCGGGTGGGAGCACCCAAGATCCTAACCTGAGGGAAGGGGTCATGGCGCAGTAAGACATCATCCGGGGTGCTTTTCCTCAACATAAGTAGATTTTATAAAAAAGTAGGGGGCTAGAGCCAGCAGGTGGCTTGGAAGTCAAGGCACTGGATTTCTACCTGATCAACCATGGTTCGAGTCCCAGACACGTTGGCTTGAAAATCACCCCAGGCGGGTGTGCATGTGTATCTGAAGTACCAGAAGGAGAATGGAGAAGAAAGGGTTATGACGTGGCCATCCCCGGGGGCGGGGGGTGATTTCTCACTTTCCTTCCCTCTCTCTCTCTCTGGTTAGTGCATGTGCCCTATGGAAAAAACCCTTAACAACAACAACAAAAAAGTGGCCGGACCCCATTTGGCCCACCTTGCAGTTCAAGTCCCAGACTCAGCAGCTTAAGAAACACGCCAGGCGCGAGCGTGTGCGTGGCCAAAAACCCAAAAGGAGGGAGAGAAGGAGGAGGGTGTGGCATGACCGCGCTCCAACGCGGGGGGTGTGCTTTTGCACACCCCCTCTCTTGCTCTTTCTCCATCTTCTCCAGAGAGTGCATGCGCCCTCTGGAGAATTTAAAAAAAGAGACAGGGAGACATAGAGATCCCCAACAGGCTCTTCATGCTTCCATCCGAACCCTGCTCCAGCCAGCCCAGACCACGGGCACCCATGCACCCAGCGCATCCAGGGCGGGGGGTGTCTCAGACGAGAACCCGGAACCCTCCCCCGCGGGCCAGGCTCACAGAATACCACCTTCGCCGCTGCGCCGTGGTCAGGCCCAGCCTCCCCTCCTCGACAGGAGGAGTGGCTAAGAACTCACTGCTTCCTTTGAAAAAAAAGAGTTTGTTACTCTCTTTCATGAGAGAGAGGGACAGGCACCCCAACAGCACCCTGACGCCTCGATCGGCCCAGCCCAGCCCGCCCTGGGTCCCTGGCCCTGCATGTTCACGTTCCTTGGACACGAGCCCGGCACCTCCATGTGGGTGACCTCACAGAGCGTGGCTCACTGTGGAGCCGGGTCAGTTTCCCTTCTACTTCAGCCTGCCCCACTTGCCCCCGTTTCTACTCTGTCCTGTCCTTCTTTCATCCGACCCACCCCACACCTTGTTCCTGAGTGAGTGCAGAGCGGAAAGGAGCCTGAACTCGGGGCGAGGGGAGCCTCGGACTTGCCCAGACCCCTCCCAGGGTAAAAGGCCCACAGCTGCAGAGACCTGGGAATCACAGGAGGCAGCGAGGAGGGAGCGGAGGGCCACGTGGGCTGTCACACCAACCACGCTGAGGGCCGCATGACAACCCCCTGCAGAAGACTGTCCCTGTCCTGACACCCTCTTGAGCTCCATCTGCTCAGCTCCTCGGCCCCTGAGCCCTGGCTACGACTGACCCTTTCACGGTCCCCATAGTTGTGCCTTTCCCAGAAGCCACCCAGCGGGACCCTGCAGTGCATGGCCTTTTCAGATGGGCTCTCTCGTGTTGTGATATGCATTGCTGTCACACGGCCTGGTCAAGGAGGCCTCCAGCCCAGGGGAAGCTTTACCTCCGAGGGAGCAGGTTCCAGGGCCGCACGGCCACAGGAGCCTCACTGCGGGGTGCGCCAGGAAGGATCTCCCCGGCTCCTGGGAAGGCCTTGGTGTCAGCTGCTACAGTATAGGCTAGGGAAATGGATCCCCCTGGGGACGAGTCAGGCCCTTGGGCCCTGCCTCCAGGTAACTGATTGCCCGGGGTCCTGCCAGGGAAGGGCTGGGCCTGGTTAACCTTTCCTCACTAGGTTACCCTTCGCCAGTCCTGAGGCCACTGCGGCTGTCCATTGGCTGGGCCCTACCCCCGCCAGTGAGCCAATGTCCTTCTCTCGGACCCCTCCTCACTGACCCGTGACTACAAGACACCCTGTCCTCCGCTGGGGTGGATGGGGACTCTGGCCCCTGTCACTCAGCCCCACAGACACCTTCAGGGCAAAGGACAGAAGCTGCGGTCCTCCTACCCTCCCCCCACCCGGGTGTCCTCCGTCTGCTGTATTTTTTTTTCCCCCCCCATTGCCTCTTAGGTCTGGGTGAGCCTTCCTCCTCTTTCTGCCTCTCCCCTCCCTACAAGGCCTCCCTGGGAACCTTCCAGAAATCCCCCAAGATGCCTGGGGCTCAGTCCCCACCTGATGCCGGGCACTGCCGGGCCTGCAGGTGGAATGGGACAGAACCAGCTGGGACAGGGAGCTGCCATGTAACAGCGGTGACAGTGACAGTGAGCCACTGCGTGACAGTGGTGACAGTGAGCCGCCATGTAACAGCGGTGACAGTGAGCCGCCGCGTGACAGCGGTGACAGTGAGCTACTACGTAACAACGAATAGCGGTGACAGTGAGCTGCCGCGTGACAGCAGTGACAGTGAGCTGCCACGTAACAGTGGTGACAGTGAGCTACCATGTAACAGCAGTGACAGTGAGCCACCACGTAACAGTGGTGACAGTGAGCTACCACGTAACAGCGGAGGCAGTGAGCCGCCACGTGACAACGAACAGCGGTGACAGTGAGCTACCACGTAACAGCAGAGACAGTGAGCTGCCATGTGACAATGGAGACAGTGAGCCACCACGTGACAGCGGTGACAGTGAGCCGCCGTGTGACAGCGGTGACAGTGAGCCGCCGCATGACGGCGGTGACAGTGAACTACCACATCTTGGGGCTCCCAAAGCCCAGAGGGTGGTGACACATTTCCTGGGGAGAGATGACGAGAAACAAGATGACTATTTCTGGCATAAGGAGAATGCGCTATGGAGCCCTGGGAGGGCGTGGAGGAGGCGCAGATGCGCGTTACCGGGAAAGCCCCAGCGTGAGCGGGCCGCGGCCTGCAGGATCCCGGTCCAGGAAAACTGGAAACAGTGGAAGAGTCCGTGGTCGCCAGGGGCCAGGGGCAGGGAGAGATGACAAGATGGAGCATGAGAGGGTGTGAGGACAGGGACAGTCTTCTGTAGACGTTGTAGTGTGGATACATGTCGCTGCGTGTTTCTCCAAATCCCTGGAACAGGTGGCAGGTGGCATGGTGGTTAAGGGTGCTGGACTCCCACATGGCCAACCGTGGCTGGAGTCCTGCACCTGGAGAAGGAGACCTCACTTTCCCTCCCTCTCGGTCTGTGTGTATGTATGCATCTCTCTCTGGAAATATTAAAAGATAATAATAAATCAAGTTAAATAAAATCATTCTTTAAAAAATTCGTGAAACACTCTGCAGGAGTGAGCCCTCACATCACCGTGGGCGTTAGCTCAGTGTCAGTGTGGGCTCACCCACTGTAGCAAACGCACCCACTGCAGCCCCCGCGGCAGGAGCGGTAGGGTTTATCCGCTGAACTCCGCAAAGGTTCTAGGCGCGTCGCAGCCTCATCAGGCACCCAGCACACACCCTGTCCGCAGCCAAGATGCCCAAGAGGAAGGTCAGCTCAGCCAAGGAGGCGGCCAAGGAAGAGCCTAAAAGGAGATCGGCGAGGTTGTCGGCTAAACCTCCTGCAAAAGTGGAGACGAAGCCAAAAAAGGCCGCAGGGAAGGATAAATCTTCAGACAAAAGAGTGCAAACAAAAGGGAAAAGGGGAGCAAAGGGGAAACAGGCTGAAGTGGCCAACCAAGACACTAAAGAAGATTTACCTGCAGAAAATAGAGAAACTGAAAATGAGGAGAGTCCACCCTCTGAGGAAGCAGGCGAGAAAGAAGTCAAGTCTGAGTAATGTCATATACCACCATGCCTTATCAATGGTCCCTGTCCCCTTCTTGTACAATCCAGAGGAATATTTTTATCAACTATTTTGTAAATGCAAGTTTTTTAGTAGCTCTAGAAACATTTTTAAGAAGGAGAGAATCCCACCTCGTCCCATTTTTTTAAGTGTAAATGCTTTTTTTTAAGAGGTGAAATCATTTACTGGTTGTTTATTTTTCAGTACAACCAGAACATAGTGGGATATTGACTTATAGGGGGCTTTGACTCTCTTACGTGTCAGCTTAACATTCCACAGGTGGGGGCGGGTGGATAGTTTTATATCCTAAATACAAAGCATACTAAATGGCAGTTTGGAGTCACTGTCATGCATTTAATGTGTCTGGAATATTTTAAATTACCCCTATTATGTTTTTTAGTAGTATTGTTTCCTAAAGAAAACCACTCTTTGATTGTTGCTCTCCCTGTCAGAACTGTGTGCACTCTAACATCTTTGGTCGTGGTAGTCCAGTTTTCCTAATAATTCTGTTAATGTGCCGTGAAAGATTAGAAATTTGAAGTATGTAGTGTGCATGATACTAAATTGTGATTTGGTGGGACTTACGTAACAGCTTTCAACATCTGAAGACAGTGGTTCTTGATATCCTCTTAAGGAAAATTTGCCTACAAATTTGAAGCTGGAATGTCACTGGAATAACTTTATTGGAATCACTAGGCTTGGCTTTTTAAATTTTTGGTGCGTATGTTAAGAATTGGGAACAAATGGAAATGTCTCTACTGATCCTTGACACAACCAATAAATCTCAATTACAAAACTGAAAAAAAAAAAAGGAAAGAAGGAAGGAAGGGAGGGAGGAAAAGAAAAGAAAGAAGAGAAGAGAGAAAAAAAGAGAAGAGAAAAGAAAAGCAAAGCAAAGAAAAGAAAAGAAAAAAGCAACTGCAATCTGATTCTCAAGAACCAGAAAGTGGGGAACCAGCAGTTGGCGTAATGGCTATGTTGCTGGACTCCCACGTAATTGACCACGGTTCACGTCCCGGACCCGGTGGCTTAAAACTCACGCCGGGCGCGTGTGCGTGCGTGCCCAAGATCCCGAGAGGAGAATGGAGGAGAAGGGATTGCGGCTTTGGAGGAGTCCAACCCGGTGGGACGCCAGGACCCATCTGAGCCCCTTGACCTTTGAGCATCGCTTCCGGTCGGTTCAGTGAGTTGGCAAGGCCGCGACTGTACGCCCCCCGACCTTGGAACAAGCTTGGGTCACTTAGCATGTTGGCAAGGCCGCCTGCTATTCACTCCGGGACTGTGATAGCCTTGCTGGGAAGTGACCCCCCTCTGACTCCCCGATATACTACTATAAAAGAATTACATAGCTCCCTCATACATTTTGAGTGTGTGGTAGGATTTCCCGAAAAGTCCCCCGACCGCTCCCCTTTACCCTGACCACTTACTGTTAATTACAACGCTTCATTGGACACAGTAAAGGGTGTGCTAAAGTTCTTCCTGATCTTTGGAAGGCCCTTCAAGACACATTTA